AAAAATATCAAGAACAATAGAACATAGAAAAACCCCAAACCTGAATATTGAATTTTAACACTCGATTGTAAATATTATAATAATAAATAATCAAAAATATGTTTGCATTAAAATAACTTTACAGAGGCAGCAGTAATCTTTTCAAGGCAAACAAAAATACCACACAGCTTTTTAGCCTACTTGCCAAGTATCAGCAACCTATGATGATTATGAATCAAAATAGATGGTTCTCGGCCTTCGTGAACCATAGAGACACCGAAGACAACAGAGAAGACACTCCCTTTGAGTTCACCCCTGAAAATTATGAATAAATCAATGAGATTATTGCCAAGTACCCTTCAAATTACAAACACTCCGCAGTCATCCCTCTACTCTTTGTTGCCTAGAAATAAAATGCTAACTTCCTAACCTTATCAGCAATGAATAAAATCGCAAAGATTTTAGATATGGCACCAATGCAAGTATACGAAGTCGCCTCATTCTATACTATGTTTAACAGAACTAAGGTCGGCAAATATCACTTACAAGTTTGTGGAACAACCCCTTGCATGCTTCGAGGAGTAAGTATCATTAATAACGACAACTATTGAGTTAACTAATCTATATTTCAATTAGGCTAGAGATGTTATGCAAGCTATTAGGGAATACGCTCATATTAACAATGATGAAATCAGTGAAGATGGTCTATTCACAATAAGTGAGGTTGAGTGCTTAGGTGCTTGTGTGAATGCCCCCATGATGCAAGTAAATAATGAGTGGTTCTATGAGGATCTTACCCCAGAGAACACTATAGCTTTACTTGAGAAATGGAAGAAAGGTGAGGAACCAAACGTTGGTCCCTAAATAAATAGAAATTGCTCTGAAGGTCCCCTTGGAAGAACATCTCTTTTCAAGCCAGAGGAGATTGAAGGAGTTCACGAAAGAGATTTTGTTGAAGTTAAAAAGTAATACGATGAAGCTAAAGCAAAGGCCGCCGCTGCTGCAGCTGCTGCAAAGAAATGAGTCTCTAGAACTTGTTAGAATGCAGAAATTATTTAAACTATTTAAACATAAATATATTTATATCAATATCTAATTTTCACATTTAAGGATAAAATTTTGCACTCGTAATGGTTGATGCATCTCTTTTCTTTATTCATATCAATATTGTGTAGAGATCTTGAATTACTTCTTAATTTCAGCTAATCTTTACAAGAATCCCGGTGGTTGTGTGAACTTTTATTTCATATCGATATACTGTTTACTTTCTTATTTATGGAACTTCTAAGTAAAGTCAAGTTGATTCTTTATAATTAGCATTGCTTGATTTTCATCGAACCATTCTATACGCTTGCCATCTTCCCAGAGTCCGTATTTATTCTCATTATTAGAAGGTACTTTATATCTTCCAAGTCCATGCTATTTACCCTTGAACCACATTCCCTAGTATTCTCTTTCATCAGCCCAGGTGTAGATACCAAAGCCATGCTTTTTATCATCTCTATATTCACCCTCGTATCTTCTACCGTCTGACCAAGTATAAATACCCATTCCTTCCATATTGTTATCGATCCATTCTCCTTGATACATTCTTCCATCTAGCCATGTATATGTACCTAAGCCTCGAATTTTGTTTTCATACCATTCTCCCTCGTATCTCGATTCGTCACTCCAACTGTAAATGCCATATCCATGTTTCTTGCCTTAATAGTATTGGCCTTCATAAACTGAGCCATCAGTCCAAGTCTCTTTACCCGGGCCATGCTATAAATCATCTTGCCAATTACCCTCATAACGTGCACCATTCACATGTATGTAAAGACCAAATCCATTGGCTTTATCATTTATCCAATTCCCTTCATACACGTCACCATCAACATGAATGAATTTTCCTTGCCCATGAGCTCTATTGTCCTTCCATTAACCTATTCTGATAAGAATTTTAGAATTTACCTTCGTATCTTGCACCATCTGGCCATTCCTGTATGCCAAATCCATCTCTAAATCCACCAATCCATTGGCCTGTGTATGTTGCCCCAGTTTTAAACTTATAAATAGTTCTCTCCTCTCTTTGTGCTCTTGGATTGTATTTGAGAACTTTTGATATTGTTTCCTTTGACTCATCAATTGTGAAATATTTACTGTCAGACTATATTTCAAATTAAATCCATGTAAATTTTGAATAAAGGAGAGAGTGAATTATGAGTTAATTGTTCCATGTGTTAATTCTACTTACTCTCTTATTTGTTTATTTTATGAAGGCGACCTGCTTCCTGACTAGATATCCTCTCCAAGTAGACTGAATCTTTATTATTAAAAGGAGGTTTTTCTTTAAAAAGACTTCTTTATTCACAGTTTATTGACCATTCTAAGAGATTAAGTTACAACATCATGTTTATGAGTTTAAATTATTAGAAAATAGTCCATAAGATAGGATAATTTTGATAATTTCGTAAGTAAAATGCTTTAACTTACAGATAAATCGCTCTAATTTGATTTCCCATTGTTTGAGGAACTTTTAACACTTTACTTTCTATTCTATTTGTTGTCTACTTCTATTTCGTAGGTCTAAATTTCACCTTTATCGTTGCATGAGCAAGTGTTACAGTTCCCCATTATTTTTATAGTTGATTTTTTATACTTATGAATTCTAATAAAATGTTAAAATCTAGTCACAAGGGGTTTTGGGGTTTTGGGG